AGGATTTGCACCAGGCGTTTCGTTGTCCAGGAGTGACCCCTAAGATACCCTGAAATTTGCAGACCTCTAGCTCATCTCCTTCCTCTTACACGGACGACGGACAGACGGACGGACGGACACGAGAGCGGTTGCATTAGCCCGCTTTAATGCTTTTTTAAAAGCAGAAGGGCGGGCTAAAAACCGAAGTATACCCCGGTGCGCAGTAGGACGGGCCCGCGACCGCGTCCGCGGATAACTGAAATTAAAGGGAGAAAAAGCCTGAGATACAGAACGGCAATGAGAACAAAAGTACAGACTGTGAACTCGTGCACATTCATATTCTGAACGGAGAGAGAGAGAGAGGGAGAGAGAGAGAGAGAGGGAGGGACACGGCCCCGACGCAGGCCAGCGCCCGCGGCGGCCCGCGCCCCGCGGGTGAGCTTCCGCGGAGGGCGCCGCCAGAGCCAGGTGCAACATCAACACCAACATGCCGCATATCAGATCATGTCGTTCAGATTCTGAACGCAGGGAGAGAGAGGGGGAGGGACATGGGCCCGACGCAGGCCAGCGCCCGCGTCCACGCCCAGGCCCGGCGCATCAGAAAAAAAGAAAAACGCGGTGAACTTGCCGAACACCTTGGCGCACATGGAGAGCCCGGGGAGCCGTCGCGGCCGGGGACACGGCGCCCAAGACGCACAAGCACGACAAGATTTGAGAATCATTTTATGTCGGGTACAGATTCTGAACATGGACCCCCCATTTTATGAACTAACTTCCTAAGGGCGGCGCGGGGCGCAACGCCCGCCAGGCTGGGGCAGTACCCCGCTCTGCCCCGCGCCCGACCGGCCCGACGATTTTTCTTCTTCTCCGTCCGGTGTAGTCGAGCCCCGGAGTACCCTATGGTCTATTCCTTCTCGAGTTATCGTGCGTACAGACAGTCAAACAAACAAACAGAATGAAGCATTTCCGGTCATTGGAGTAATGGGCTTAGCTAATCCCTCACCATTCCAACGACTGTGGAAAAAGAAAGAAAAGAATCAACAAGCAGGCCCGCCCTTCCGCCAAACGGAGTTGCCAGCTCCACTTCGCTGCGCCGGCAACTCCGTTCGGCAGGACCTCCGTGAAGTTGGCGGGACCCATTCAAGCACAGTTTTTGCGACCTATCCTAAAAAACTGTGCAAAAACTGTGCTTTCCAACAATCAACTTAAAAAAAACTGTTTGCCACTCCTTCGTAACGAAAACCTCAAATTAAAAAGGGTCCCGCTACGTTCACGCCAGCGGGACCCAGTGACGCACAATTAAATCTGAGCACGCCAAAAAA